CCTCCACGCCCAGCCATGAGCCCGTGCCGACCACCACTCCACGTCTAGCTGTGAGCCCGTGCCGACCACACCTCCATGCCCAGCCGTGAGCCAGTGCCGACCACACCTCCATGCCCAGTCGAGAGCTCGTGCCAACAACACCTCCGTGCCCAGTCGTGAGCCCGTGCCAACCACCTCCTCCCTCCCCCAGTCTGGGTGCCCCCGTGTCATGCTCGACTTCCGCAAGGTCACCGACTGGCGCTCTGGGACCCGCTTGCGAGTGGCACGGCTGCTGCCTGCCCGTGACTGCCCTGCTCACTTCCTTCGCCGCCTAGGTTCATGGCGTTGTTGTGGATGAGAGGGTTTACTTCTCTGTCACGGCTGGATGGAACCGTGTGTAAATACACCACTCTCACTCAGCTCATGCGTGCTGTGGCGCGGGACTGTGGTCTCTCTCTGACACGTTGACTCCACGTCCTGTGGAGCACGCCCGGCTCTGGGACTGCCAGGTCAGGTGGTGGCCCGTTCCTGGTCTATTTTTACGAGAGTACGTGTGCCCACACACAAGGGGGGAGATGTGGGGAGACTGACCCACGGCCTCATCACGCTGTGACCTTCCCAGTCCCCACTCCCCAGGGCCCTGGGTGTCCACACGTGCCCTGTGAGTTTTGAGGCTTTTCCTGGAATCTGGGAACCACGGTGGCTTCCACCCTCGCAGGGCGCGTTAACAACTGGAGCTACTTTCATGTTTTGGGGAAATCCTCCAACTACCTTTCACTCTGCCTGAACGAGCCTACGTCCCAGCGGCCTCGTTGTGGCGACGCTCGGACTCTCGAGGTGGTGGCGAGTCCGTGTCACTCTGAGCAGCAGCGGCGACCTTGCCCATGCACTGCCAGGAGCTGACCCTGGAGGAGCCTCACATGGCACCAGCGCCATGACGGCGGGGCCTCACTGAGCTCCCCACCGACCCGCACCAGGACCCCGCAGCGGCCTCCCGCCCAGCCTTTCTCCCTGTCCCGCCAACCCGTTCTCTAGACGGTAGCCAGGGTCACCTTTGAAAAACAGAAACCCACCAAGGGCTTCCACTCCTCCTGGAATGAACTAGCCTCCTTTCCAAGCCCAGCCAAGTCCCCCATGGCCCTGGCCCACGCCCAGGACCCTGCCCATGCCCCGCCCCCAGGGCCCCACCCCACCCTGG